GTACATTTCCTCGTTTAGGCCTTTACTGTATTACTAGTTAACTAGTACAGTATTAACAAATATTTTAAAACGACATGACTGACCAGCGGTCACACTGATTTGTTCTTCAAGACTCCAGTAATTTCTGCTTTGGACTGTGGGGTTGGCAATTTGAAGCATGTGCTTCTAACCAAAATCGAATTTTATTTCGGATATTTTAGCCCTAATAAAGCAAAAGAGATACTATAATCAGAAATCTGGTATCACATTTTGTGATTTTTTCTTTTCTTACCTTTTTTCATCTTTCTTAAAGGCCAACTAACACCACATGGTAAGTTTTCTGTGGTTTCTGTCTTTCATTTTATTCTGTCTAATGCTTTTATTTATACCTTTTATTCTCTCTTTTAAGCCTTCTTATTTTGAGCTGGTATTCTTTTACTGTAAATACAATAAATATATCTTATCTAATTGGAAATAAACTTACCTAATCGCTGCTACTGCCCTGGCTTTCCATAAGATACCGATAAAGGTACATTCACACTAGGATTACCGCATGTTATCTACATGTTATCTACATGGAACACCAAGTAAGACGGTTCATATTTAGCTATACTTGTCACTTTTATTTGGTTTTTATTTTTATTTTTTAGCCGTGAACCCATAATTTCTACATCTTGAAATTTGGAACATATTTTGCAATAAAGCATTGATAAAAAAATATATTTTTCTCAAAATATTCAATAATTACTATTTTAAAAAAATCAAAAAATGTGACACATCGTTGGAAAGGTATTTGAATTGCTTTTACAACGAGCTATATCTTATCGATCTACGATAAGTAGTCCTCAAGATATTCTAATTTTTGTGAAGCTGTGTTGGACCAAAATTGGTACATTTTTCGATGTTTGAAAATTAATAAAAAAAACACTGATCAGAAAAAAAATATAATTTGAATTTTCTTCCCACCCATATAGAGATCAGTGTACTAAATTTTATCAAAATTGGTGAGATGATCTACCAAACCTCTGATTGATTTGATATGAAACGACTTTGGTGTGAAATGTATTTACATAATTATATTATATTTTACAGTTAAATTGTTTAAAATTCTATTATGTGAATCTCAAACATTTCCTTTTATAAATGTACCTATACTTTTTAATTTAATTTTTATACATCTATTTTTCATGATAAATGAACTACTGCATTCACGCACAAGCCTGCTTTTGTGAATGTACACTCTATTTGCCATGAATATATGGGTGTCTACTTATTTACCTATCTCGTTTTTTATATACATGTATTTTTTCTAAATCTAAATTGTAATTTTAATTGAGGCAAATAAAGATTATTATTATTATTATTAATTATAATAAAAAATTGTCCGAAATCTGACTTTGAGAGACGTGACAACTGTGTAATAAATGAACTGACTGTGTAGTTCGACTTCTCACACATTAAATATGTACATGCACTCTCTCAAACACTGTAAAGAAGAAGGCAGGGGCAATGTAATTAATCTGTTCTACGTTCTACTTAAAAATATACAAGCTTTTCTTAATGGATTTTAGATGAACGCCAGCGATATTTTTGTATTGTATTGTTACTATACCTACCAACTTTCTTTTTTTTATGTGCGTCCGTTCATAAAGCCGCGATGGTAAACGACGATATCGAATTTTTTATTTAGACCGACCACACGAACTTACTTCTTTTTATGCGATAAGGAGTAATTTTTCTCTTTTCTTTTTTACGGGTGTAATATAGATTAATCGAAGATTAAGTGATATAACGTTTTTTTTTTATTTCAATAATAATGGCTTTATTGCTTCCAAAAATTGAATATAGAGCTGAAAGTTTTAAAAAAGGAACAGTAATATTAAAAAAAATCTGATGTGTCCAACACATGACTTTCCTATCTAGTTATTATAGGCATTTTCCGGTTATTTTGTACAACCTATTGCAGCATCTCTATAAATGTTTAGAGGATAAACTAAATATATACATTTTACACATACATTTACCTCGAAACATTTTTCTATAGATATAAATTTAGCACTTTTCCATTACGGTCCATTTTAGAAAAATCATGTATAAACAAAAATTATAGAAATCGATATCGCAAACAACTTTTAGTTCAACAATTTTCATAAAAATCAGAATTTTGCACATTTTGTCAAATTTCTCGAATACAGGCCATTTCAGGAAATTTTGACATAATACAAAAATTATAGATAATATTATTAGAAGTAACTTTTATTTGAAAAATTTTCTTCTCCAAACGTAAATAACAGATATATTTCATAAAATATAAAAATGACCACCTATAAAGTACCCCCCAGATGTTCCGACTTTGTCCAAAATCTAATAATTTCACGTCAGGCCGAAATAAACCTTAAGTTTAAAATTTAATGTTTTTTTCTTTATCCGTTTTTGAGTTTTCTTCAAAATTCAAAATTTACACATTTTCTCAAATATCTCGAATACGGTCCATTTTAGAGAAATTATGTATAGAATAAAAATTATAGAGAATTATATTACAAACAACTTTTATTTGAACAATTTTTATAAAAAAATATTGTTTTTACATTTTGTCAAATTTCTCGAATACGGACCATTTTAGGAAAATTTTGTATAAAACAAAAATTATAGATAATTATATTAGAAGTAACTTTTATTTAAAGAATTTTTTTCTCCAAACGTTAATAACAGATATATTCCATAAAATATAAAAATGAACACCTATAAAGTACCCCCCCAGATGTTCCGACTCTGCCCAAAATAATCAGTTCATTAGACGCTGGAATAAAGCTTAAGTTTAAAACACACACACACACACATACACGCACGCACGCACGAACGCACGCACGCACGCACGCACGCACGCACACACACACACACACACACACACACACACACACACACAGAGACATCATCGCGAAAATAGTCAAAACGGATTCAGGGGACCTCAAAACGTAAAAATCCGTCGAAAACTCGAGGTCGAAAAAAATCATGATTCCTATACTTTCCTTATATCTGTATACAGATAGGAAAGTAAAAAATCTAAAATTATAATTATGTAACATTGAGATTAATCACAATAAATATATCCTTCCAGCAAGGCAATTTAAAATTATTTTCTATATACTATCAAAACGTGGGAGTTTTGCTAGTGTTTCATGTACCAATTACAGTATTAATTATATTAGTCGAGACTTGGTTGAATAAACATTTTACAGATGCCGAATTAGGTCTAACAGGGTATAATATATTTAGGACTGATAGAGATGACACTGATAGTGAAAAGGAGAGAGGTGGGGGCGTTTTGATAGCCACCAAAAAGGAACTAAATGTCAAACAGTTAATATCTCCTAACAATTTTGAACAAATTTTCATTTCTTTAAAATATGGCATCCAAAATTTTGTATTTGGAAGTGTTTATATACCTCCAGCATTAGATCTAAACTGTTCAATTCAATACATAACTTAAACATCTTATTTATGAAAAAAATTGCCCACAAACGTTATAAGCAATATGGTAACAAAGACTTATTACTTATTAATGATCCTTCGAGTGTCATATCTAACAGTAAATACCTCCTATTTGCTGATGATATGAAAGTATTTAGATCAGTTTCCAATGAAACAGATGCTTTGTTACTACAAGAGGATCTAATTAGATTGTCCTGTCGGTGTGATGTAAATCTGTTGTACTTAAATGTTAAAAGATGTCATCAAATCAACTTTTTTAGAATTACCTCTCCAGTTCACTGTTCATACAGAATTAATAATTTTGTGCTACAAACTAACGATAATATTCGCGATTTGGGAATTATTATGGACAGTAAGTAATCTTTCGTTTAACACTCACATTAGTCATTTAAAATGTTAGGATTTATTCAGAAGAACAGTAGACAATTTTCTATAAATTCATTTAAATTGCTGTAAACGGCTTTGGTTAGGTATAACTTAGAATACTGCTGCTCTGTTTGGTCCCCCAATTATGTTATTTACATTAATCACATTGAGAAAGTGCAACGAAAATTTTTGCGGATTTGTGCTTTCAAAATGGGCATAAACGGAATAATATTAATTATGAAAATATTCTTCTCCAATTAAACATGCAAATACAGGAAAATAGAATCTGTCTTATGTTTTTTTATATAAAATTTTAATGGTATTATATCGAATTTCGAACTATTGAACTTTTCAATGTAAATGAAAGACGTACGCGGAATTTTGACAATATCCAGAATTTTACGATTAGCTAACAAACATCAAAATATTGATATTATCCGTAATTCTCTTCCTGCTTTTAAAAGAGCTATAAAAAGCTTACATGTTAATATGTAATTGTTGAATATTTTTAATTTTTTTTTATTTTGTTATATATTTTTTATACTTTCTGTTTTATTTTCTTTTTATTTATATTTCTATTTTTACTTAGTAGAGTATAACTCTCTGTAATGTCAGTCATTTTTCATATACTAATCTGTAAAATGGATTTTGGCCCGTAAATAAATAAACAATTCAGTATGTGCATTCGACATTCCTTAAAGTTGGTTGCGGGTGTTATGTATAAAAAAATATTTATATTAAATTCGACCCTTAACACGAGATATCTAAATTCGGGTTTAAGTGCGAAAAAGAGCTGATGGTATAGGAATACTACCCCTCTAATCCACACTGAATCTCCTAATGGCGGTCCTCGGGACAGGAAGTGGTTAAATGAAACCGGAAGCAGGATAACTAATAGCGTTGCCACCACACCATCATACCTACCCCTCTCCCCCATGCCTCCACACCGTATGCACGTAGTATTTCGCATGTCGAACTACTGACAGGGGATTTTCTGAACTCTCTCCGGAGAGGGACGAAAAGCGGAATTTCGCTGGAATTAATTAAGGGGACGATCGCAATTGGTATAAAGGGAAATTGATGGGATCCAAGCACGATTTGTTCAATGAAAAATCGTTTAAAGGGTGTGAAAATTCGGATATAATGTTTGTGTTTGTACTTACACTCGATCAGCCGAATTCTTTCTGAAACAGATTAAAAAGAAATAACGTTAATAGTAATCAAAATAAAACGTCTATATTATAACAAACAAGATTACATGTTAGATAGAGTGGGGCGAGGTTAAGCATGAGCTTAGATGACTAATTTCTTGAAATAAATATAAAACAATATAGATATATACAGTGCGTCCATAAAGTAACGCATAAATTCATTATTGGCTAAATGAACAATAAAATTAGGAATTCCCAAAACAGGTCGATTTTTGATTTCAATTTACTATTGTTTCAAATGATAATCTAATATACAGGGTGAACCACTTTCGTGTAATGACGTCATCACCATTTTTTTCAAATGGAACTCCCCCTTTTTTTTCAATTTCCAAATTGCCTTTGCTGAGCTGATTCCAAAAATGTATAATATGTTGCTTCAAATTGGTACAGGGTGGGCAAAAATGCAAAAATTTACTTACAAAGTAATGAAAATAACGAATAAACGTAATAAACACATTAAATGAAATTACGTATTGTTATTACAACTACTTTGATAAACTATCAAGAACATACAGCATTATTCTTAATAATTGTATCTTACAGCTTTTATTAGTGATCCAAGCCCCTGGACTATACAAATCTTTTTGTTTGGCATTATCTTTCACCAGTTTTTTTTATTTGACATACCAGTTTTTTTTATTTGACAACACTGTCAAAAACATTGAAGCACAGTTTCGTATTGTTAACGCTGTAGAGAAGGTACGTTCGTGAACTTTTTTTACAAAAATGCCTTTAACCGAAAGTGACAGGATTGAAATATTAATGATGATTGGTATTGGCGATAAGATGCGGACTCAACAAGAGGTATGCCGATTATTCCATGAAATGCACCCAGATCGTGAACCTATTTCACAATCTACGGTAAGTAGAATAGAGCGAAAATACAGAGAATTAGGACATGTGAGGGATGCAGCAAGGCAAGGTAGACCAAAAATTGATGAAAATATTCAACAAGACATAATTTTGTCGGCTGTAGAAAATCCACACTGTACAGTGCGAGGATTATCTAGGGATTTTGGTATTGGAAAGTCTTCAGTATCAAACATTTTCAAAAAGGTAAAATACCATCCTTATAAAGTACGTCTCATCCATGAATTGGCTGAAGACGACTTTGACCGAAGAACTGAATTCTGCGAGTATATGATGAACCAAAACAACAATTTCATTGATAACGTTTTATTTTCGGACGAGGCAACGTTTTATTTGAACGGTCATGTTAACCGGCAAAACACCCGTTATTGGTCTGATGAAAATCCACACTGGATGCAAGAGTACCATACGCAAAGACCACAAAAAACTAACGTATGGGCTGGTATTGTGAGAAATACAATTATTGGTCCATATTTTTTCGATGAAAACTTAACAGGAGCATTATATCTGGATTTCCTACAAAATACATTAATTCCTGATCTGATCCAGCTTTTTCCTGATATTCAAATACCCACTAATGTAGACCGCAGAATCTGGTTTCAACAGTATGGCGCACCGCCACATTACGCAGTAGCTGTGCGCAATTTTTTAAACACAACTTTTCCACAAAGGTGGATAGGAAGAAGGGGACCAGTGGAATGGCCTGCTAGATCACCTGATCTGAACCCATTAGACTTCTTTTTATGGGGTTATTTAAAATCTAAAGTCTACTTCAACAGACCTGGAAATATCCCTCAACTACAAGACCGAATCAGACAAGAAATACAGAGCATAACACCCGCTATGCTACAGAATGTTAGAGACGAAAGTAATGCCCGGTTCAGTCATTGTCTAACGGTCAATGGAGAACAATTTGAACATTTATTGTAAATTTTCGTTCGTTTGTTTGCTTTTGGAAGTGTATCACATTAATTGCATAACTACATAATTCCATTTAATTTGTTTATTACATTCAGTAACGTATTACTTTCCATAAACAATTTTCATATTTTTTTTTGCATTTTTGCCCACCCTGTACCAATTTGAAGCAACATATTATACATTTTTGGAATCAGCTCAGCAAAGGCAATTTGGAAATTGAAAAAAAAGGGGGGGTTCCATTTGAAAAAAATGGTGATGACGTCATTACACGAAAGTGGTTCACCCTGTATATTAGATTATGATTTGAAACAATAGTAAATTGAAATCAAAAATCGACCTGTTTTGGGAATTCCTAATTTTATTGTTCATTTAGCCAATAATGAATTTATGCGTTACTTTATGGACGCACTGTATATGTATGTACATAAAAATAATTTAAGGATTTTATAATTTGGTACAATTTTAAAACAATAGAATACAATAGTCTAATCAACAAGTTCAAAAGCGTGTTTTTGGGACATACTATTACGAAAATTATGTTCAATAGCTCATTCGATTCGGAATAATGTCTAGATCAATGTGCGAAAAAAAATTTTGCAGTGCATAAAAAATTGCAAAAGTTATAAACAATTAAACACCTCAAAAACATGGTGTTTGGTTTTTCGCCTATAGTTTGTAAACTATACATATTTTTGGATTTTTCAAAAAAGATCCTTAAAGAGGAGGAAATTTGCTATAAATAAGTTTCGACTCCCGGAACTGTACCTCCATTATTTATAATTTTAATTTAGCGCTCAAAGTAGCCTTCCGCGCGCCATTTTTAGGTTGCACGCACGGCGTCGAAACCGGGTACGTTACATAAAATAATTTTTTTAAGTTAATAAAATTAAATTCAAAAATTTAAAAAAATTACGGTGTATTCTAAACCTAAACACATAGAAGAATTCATTCCCGTTGGAATTTTTCATAAAAATTAATTTTCCAACAAAGTAGGTTATTGTTAACTAACAAAATTTTTAGAATTTCTCTCATCATTACAAATTGATAAAAATATTAAATAATTACCGTAAATTTTGCGGCTTGTAGCTCAGTAAATAATGCAAATTCGGTTATTGAACTTCAAGGCAATTCTGTTAATTGTTTATTTAATTTTCAGTCAATTTTTTTATAAACTATTATAATTTTTTTACTAAATCTTTGGAAATTTTTTTACTTCTAGCTGTTTACTTACTATTCTCTGGCTATCTTCAATCAAAAACATTATTATTAACGAAAACGTCGAAACATCATTTCGTTTGACGTTTCGACGTTTTCGTTTGCCGTTTCGACGTTTTCGTTTGCCGTTTCGACGTTTTCGTTTGACGTTTCGACGTTTTTGTTTGCCGTTTCGACATTTCGAACGTTTGATGTTTCGACGTTTTCGTTTGACGTTTCGACGTGTGACGTCACCGTCAAAAATTGGCAGAATGAACCTTAGCGATTTCCCATGTTAATTTACATAAGGAATGAGGCTGAACTCCTATAGCCTATTTACTAATTTTATGTAAAAAATTAAAAATAATATGAATGCATAAACTTTCCAAAGATTTAGTAAAAAAATTATAATAGTTTATAAAAAAATTGACTGAAAATTAAATAAACAATTGCAAATGTTATATAATTAATAGCTTAACAGAAATGCCTTGAAGTTCAATAACCGAATTTGCATTATTTATTGAGCTACAAGCCGCAAAAGTTCGAAAAACTTAAAAAAAAATCAATTTTTATAAACAAATATAAAAAACAACAAATTGACAATAGGTACGGAATTGACAAATGACTTATCTGAGAGATAATTTCATTGCCTACAAAAATGACTCGAATGTTTATTGTCGTATCTCCAATAGTTTAAAAGTTATATCAACTTTTAAGTCAACAAATGGATCAGCTGCTGCAACTTTGATAGTACGTATATTTTCAAAGTTTAATAAAAAATGTAATAAAATTGTTTTCGTAATTTTAATGCACTAAGTCGTTTTTGGAATTTGTTTATAACAAATTGTTAACTTAATAAACAATGGAATTATTAATAAAAAAAAATTTTTTTGCTGTCACTTTTTAGAGGACTGTCAATTATGATTTAAAAAAAAACACATTTCTTAACTAATAATTTAAACAATAGATATATTAAAAAAACGATTATATACAATTAAAAGTTATTATTAAGGAGGTCCTTTCGCCACCAATGTTAAATAAAAAATATTAGATTATGACTAAGATTATTTTTTTTCTAATAGTAGATGTCCTTATTTATCTAATAATGAACTTTTAACTATACCTTACCGTGCAAATTTTTGAGAATTTTTTTTTTAAAAATGTGTGTGTTTGTACAGTGTCTTATGAGAAAGTAAGACTTCAACAACAATTTTCGAATTATAATTAATTTTACTATTATTTATTGATTAGATGGAGTAGAAAAAAACTAAAAATATGGTTTTTGAAATATTTAGGTTTTGTTTTTTACAATAAAATATATAGGTTACCGTGGAATTTATTGAGAAATTATTATTAAAAAATCACAAAAATTTTCAACTAGGTTACTTGAAAATTTTGACGTAGCCCAAGCATTTGACAAGGTCTGGCACGCTGGCCTAATACAGAAACTTGAAAAAATGCTCCCTAGACAATATGTCGACATTCTACAATCATATTTAACGGGAAGAATGTTTAGAGTAAAGCAAGACGAGGCATACTCCCAAATGAAAGAAATTAAAGCAGGTGTCCCACAAGGCAGTGTGCTAGGACCGGTTCTTTATTTATTATACACCAGAGATATCCCTTAACAACAATCTGTTAAAATAGCAACATTTGCAGATGACACTGCAATATTGGCAGTTGGCGGAACTAATACAGAGACCTCAGAAAAACTTCAGGAAACCTGCAACAGAATTAATCGATGGACAAAAAAATGGAAAATAAAAATAAATCAAACTAAATCAGTGCATGTTGATTTTACTCTTCGACCAAATGAACAAAAACAAATAAGAATAAACAATGACGTTATTTCGCATCACGATTCGGCCAAATACCTAGGGATGAACCTAGATGTAAAACTTAAATGGAAAGAGCACATAAAAAAGAAGCGTAAAGAACTTGAACTTAAATTCAAAAAAATGTATTGGCTCCTAGGAAGAAAATCCAAA